ACCAAATCTACAGTGATACGAACAAAATTACATAAAGCACCATAAGATGGAAAAGTTAAATCTATCATTGATTTTCAAATTTGGATGACCGTTTCATGTTTATTAGTATCATAGGAATTTTTTTTTTGTATAAAATATTCATCATAATTGCATTCTATTGTTCATGTTGCCCCGTTTTCTCATTGAGGCTGAATTCAAATTTTTTACCCTGACTTTACCAGTTATTAAGATACTTGGTCCTAAATGTACGTGATTACAACCGTGGTATAATTAAACGGTCTGCTAAATATTTATGAATTTTTTAAAACTCTAATAATAAATTAAGGGTCTTCTTTTCTTTTAGTAAGATTAAAAATGATGTATCTTATGTTACAATAGATCAATATATCCTTATTAAGAAATTTTCATAGAAAATGTCATGTTACATCTACTTTGCACAGCTAATTATATTCAAAAGTCAATCTAAACTTAAAACCGATTATAAAAATGTATCGTTTCCCACTTCCAAAACTCTCACTTTCAAAACGAAGCTAAAAAATGAAAGTGGGTTTTACTTGCATAAGAACAAGAAATCATTTCCATATCAACTGTAAAGCCTCGGTTTAAAAAAGAGGCTTAGAGCAACTTAAAAATGGCCTGTTGGCTATTTCAACGTACGGCGAAAGACTGGGTCCGTGATGCATCAAAGTGCACCATGGGACTGTTTTAGGATGCTGTCGTTTCCTTTACTGCCTTTTACCAGGTTGGGGTGTCCCCTAAAAACATTTGATTGTGTAGCTCGACGCAACAACAACAAAATGGCCACTACTGAGGGAAAATGAAAAACGCTACACACGCATTAACCCTTTAAGTCCCAATAGTGTCTAATGTCAGTTTTCTCCTAACGATATCCATACAATGTCAAGAGATTAGGTTATGAGAATTAATAAAATGATCACCTAAGGGAAAATGCCTTGATCATTTATCAAATTCTCTCAACTTATTCTTGAAGGAAATGCATAGAGATCAGTTTGGAGAATTTGTATGTGGATATTGGGGCATTAAATGCCTTCACCGACAATCAGCTTTTGGCCTTCAATCGGGTGCAATCGGCAAATTCTCGGTGTGGTATCTGTCATGGGGAAAAATGCTAACCCGCACTAATAACGACAGGGGCTGAGGGAGTGAACGCACTGGTCATGAGTTACGATAGCACGGTGAGGGTTTATTTATTTTTTGTAAAATCCAACTAGTTGTCTATTATCAATGCTGCGTTCTGATTGGTTGAGCTACTACTAGGCTATATGTTATAGCCCATTAGTAGCGAAAAACGTCCGCTTTGAAAACCAAAACAACAGCGGCTGAATCGCGTTTTGCTGCCTTAAGTTGTCTTGTCTCGATATTTTTGACCAACTAGTTGGATTTTACTAAAAACAATTATTCTTCTGTCCTTCATGGCCTCGGAGTCAATAGCCCATTCGGGCTCAAGCAATAATTGTTAAATAACTCCCGAGTAAATGAAAAACTTTGGCTTTATATAGTAACGCCTTACTGAAAACAAAACTGTCTAAAGCAAAAAGCGATTGTTTATAAAGAATGTTCATTTCAAAATTGTCATGAAAGCGCCAAGAACAAATCTCACACCAACGTAGAATGTGTTGAATAGTGAATTATAAGGTGAAGGCTAAGAACATAATAAGGCAGCCTCGTAGAAGGACTCACTCTACGATTCCGAGAAAAAATGAGGTACTGTTCGCAGACCAGACTAACCCGACAGAGTCGAGGGTCCGGAGCTGCCGAAGAAGGCTGTCCGGTGCTGAATCTTTGTATTCCTTAATCTAACAGGCAGGTCTCACAATCATAGAAACGGGAATCTTCTTGCTTACTAACTGCGGATTTGTATCATGAGAAAGGGCAGGCTCATGAAGGTTAAAACCATGTGACACTGAGAATGATAAAAATGGAAAGAAAACTCGACTTCTTGAAGAGCAGTTTGCTGACGAGAAAGAAGTTCCCAGCCTGTGCCCGCAGCGACAAACTCGTGGTGAATTGATAGGATGTACAGGCCAAGACGAAAGTCTTCCTTGAGAAGGCATAAAACAAGGAAATGGTTGTGTAGCAGTTGTACAACTTATGCGCATCTGAGGCACCAAAGGCTTGTACTCCCGTGGTTCATGTTCACCAAGACTTGATTTTGGTGTTGGAAACCGATCGCGATAAAACGACCTTGTGATTCCTGGTTTATAAGTGTAAGGAAGGTTGTTAAACTTGTAGACCAGCCTTTGGCCTTTCACCTGCGCCCAAAAGAATAGAAAATGAGGAAAAACTGTCAAGTCCCTTTTAATAACACTTGTGATTTGTTAAAGTAGAGACACAAAATTCGATATTTATGTGAAATATATGTAACCTCACAGTTTCTCGGTAGCTTTCATTTCTTTTAATGAAAATCATCGACATGCTCAAAAGTCTGGCTAAATCTCTTATCTGGCTGTTAAAATTCAAGTCGTTGAAATGTCATAAAAGGGTCTAACTGAACGGAGCCATGAGCCCTTCTTCCATGGATAAAGTGTGTGAATTGGCACATGATTCAAGATCTCAAAAGATTCCGGTCCAGGCACAGCTGTTGTCCGTCAACTTGAAATCAGGTTGTAAAAAAAAATATTAAGCTACGGCAGCAGGATAAGCTCAGTTGGTGGCGCGCTTGACTGCAGAGCGAAAGGTCGTGGGTGTAATTCATTACCGAGCCTGGACCAGTCGTCAGTGTCTTAATTAAGAATATCTGAAAAATGAAGTTACTGCCTTTGCCCAGCGAACGGCTAGACCGTCGCTTGGCTCGAATGACCACACCGTAATTTTTAGGGAGTTATTTTTACTCCAAAAATGGAGTAACAATTTTAGGTACAGGATAACCCCTTTTTTGGGGTTATTTTAACTCCTAATTTAACTCCGAATTTGGGGTCATTTTTACTCCTGAAAAAGAGTTCTTTTTACTCCCAGTCTGGAGTTAAAATCACTCCGAAATGGGGTTACTTGTACTCCTTAGATGGGTTGTTTTTACTCTTTTTGGAGTTAATTTAACTCTGAAAGTGGAGTAAAAATTTTAGGTACTGGATAACTCCTTTTTTGGGGTTATTTTAACTCCTCAATATCTGGGGTCACTTTTACTCCGGAAAAAGAGTTCTTTAAACTCCTTTTTGAAGTTAAAATAACTCCACGAAAAATAACTCCACTGTAAGGAGTTAAATTAGCCCCACTGGAGGAGTTATTATAACTCCCTGAAAATTACAGTGCACGTAAAATGGCGTTTTCATCTCCAGAGGGAGACGTAGAAACAGTGTCCTCAATTAGTCCTTTGCAAAATACATTGATACTTAAACAAAATGCTTTGGTTTAAAGCTAATACCTTGGTAATTATTCCATCTCGATAGTACAATCTCAAGGCCCGACTTAGCTTCCCGTAGTCCATTCTACCCCTCTGTTTCAATATTCCCCATCTTTTGGCCACCTCCTGTTGGTTCAAAAGCTCAAACTCTCCTTCTTCCCTCCTTCTCCAGCATATTATAGATCTGCAGCTCTCATCAGCCAGAAGTTCCAAGAGAAACTCCCAAAGATGCAACATATTCTTGTACCTGTGTTCCGAACGTGCTGAATTTCTGCAGCTCTGCAAAGGGCCCTTCCCAAGCTGCCCAGGAGTACCAAATTCATTGTCACGCATCTTCTTTCTGAAATTAATTTCCTCTGCTTTGAAGGGCAAAACACCTAAACGTATAGAAAGAAAAACGTCGTCAGCAACTTGGAGCAATGGATGCTGTTTTAGGTAATTCTCATTCAGAGAAGGATTTGAAGTTACAAAAGATCAATTTTGCGCCTGCATCCAACCCAATTACAGTAGCATTTGCTTTTTTCGGCTTTAGCCTCTAGTCTCACCCAACGTTTTTTTTGGAGGGTGAAACTAGAAACTAGAGCCGAAAAAATTCTGTTACTGTCGCAGGCTACCAACCCAGCATGCCCAGTAAAATATATCTGTTAACTGAAGTCAGTTTTTCTACTAACTTTCATCATGAATTAACCAAACTAAATACGGTACGTGAACACATACTCCGTTTTACTCCTGGTCTGCCCCGAACGTTACATTTGATACGACGACACGATTTCCCTAGCTAAGAGTTCCATAGTGACAAAGAAGCTAAGCCAATTCCAGCTTAAAATTGATTTGTCGATAGTGCACACCACAGGAAGAAATCAAGTTCATGTTGGTTTCTTACATTTTACCTTTCAGTCTGAAATTTGTAAGCAGGAACGACAAAAACTGCTCAACAATTGGCCATAGTTCTTCAAAGAATTTGGGACATAGGTGAGCGAGTTAGAGACGCCATCTTGACAAATTTCATAGCCCCAGATTGAAGGCTTATCGAAACATCATTCGATAATAGCTTCTATGCTTAAGCCAGTGGCACATCCAGCTGTGTAGAGAATTGAATTGAATCCCAGCGAAGTAAATCTGAAACCCTAGGAATTGCCAATGAAAAAGAGAATTTGCCTATACCAACATGTTGAAAGGAACTATAGGTAGCCAGGGAGCGTTGCATGGGTGTAACCTGGAATAGAGTGAATCGAGCGTGGTTTTTTATGTAACTCTCAATTTCAACAAAAGAGGAAAGGGGCATACACGTACCCTAATCTCGAAAAAAAGGGGATTTACTCCAGCCCTACCACCAGTGTTGACATGAATAATTGTTTTCTATGAGTCCCAACACAGGGGATGTGACGCAACCTTTGGCCGATTTAGAATTCGCTGCTGGGTGCCACATGGAAGCAAACTAGCAAGTTCGGTGAAATGAGCTTTCAGTTGTGCAAAACCAGAAAAAATAACCCAACGCAAACTTCCTGGAGCAGCAAGTGGAATTTCTAACCGAAGCAAGACTGAAACTTGCCCCTGAATTAACCATGCCATGCTCGGTTTTGTTTGGCCCGTATTTTAAAGCCCAAAAACGCACCAGTGGAAACGCATATGGTGCCATATTAACAGACCTGGCAATGAAGGCTTTGGTTATAGAGGTAGCAAGTGTTTGGATATGACAAAAGCAATTCTCTGATGACTGTCAGCCGATTTGCATGTATCTTCGGATGGCAGGGTCCCAAATTGTGGGTGCACGCCAGAGAGAGAGTTAAAGAATGCTTGGGAAAAGATTGATAAATTTTCTTTACAGAGATGCGCAGAATGAATCAACGTGGGTTTTGGGCAATGCCGATACTCTCTGGCATCAGGGAGCAGTTTAATCGTTAATCAAGGCGGGCAAGCGCCTCATTCATTTTTCGGTCAGTAACCAGTGCTTTCATAAAGTTCGCAGAAAAGTATCAAATTTACCGAACGAATATCTTATTGGCACGAAAGATTCAATTCAACCATCAGTGTTCTAACACCCAATAATTTGGTGCTGGGACGAGCCACCACGTCAACCCCTTGGGGTGGCATCCTTACGGGACAAAATGTTCTCTTGTTATTACCTTGTTCAGTCAATAGTGGAAGAAGAATTGCAGGGTAGGGTGGGGCAGAACTGTATGAGCCAACTCTTTTGTGCAGCGGAAATGGCACACTGCAAGACGTATCTTACGCCCTGGAGATGTGGTGATTGTTGCCGGCAAGAACACTTTAAAGGGAGATTTGGCTTGACACTAGTGAAAGAGGCGTGAACAAAGAAAAGTGTGTAGAGTAAAACTTCAGTACAAAATCACACTGGGGAAAGGGCTCATAAGCTCCCGACCTGCTAAGAAAAAGGTTGTCGTCTAGAGGACAGTTTAACTATTTGCCCTGCTTGCTCCAATTGGACTAGATCCCGAAGCTGTAATCAAGGAATCCAAGGAACAAGAATATTTTTCGAGGTTTATCGAATAATATTTAGCGTTTCTTTCATGGATCTCCACATCACATTGACCCACCCCTCCGGTGTGCTGGAAACTTATTTGAACGTTTATTTGCCGGGTAAATTTCGATTTTGCGGGATGTCGCTTCTTATCCATCTCCCGGGCGTGTCGAACATGTCAGGAAAACGGCCGCGCCATGCTTTAGAGCGAGGCTGAGGATGTCTGTTCAAGTTTCTTTCAGGTTTCATTTGGACAGTATCGATCAAAAAGCATGATGTAGTACAACGTATGTATGATCTAGCATTAAATTCAGCGTTTACTTAGACGTTTTTGCATGTAGACAAGCGAAATATTTTATAAATTTGCTATGCGGGTTTATCGACTTTACTAAGCTATGCATCACTCAGTCTGTGTATCAAATGCACTACAAATCAAAGTGAGTTGAAACATTATTCTTATCTGCTGGATTCTTTATAGCGGAGCTCTCGCACGCGAAGCGCGGCAGCGGATTACCATGGGTAAGGAAATGAGGTAATCTACCGTACACCGACCGACCGACCGCCCAAGCGACCGTCCGTCCACAGGAATACCGACGTAAAATAACTCAATCAACAGGTATGGCAACCCAAATGCAACTCGAGGTTATTTTGGCAGGAAATCGCATAGCCACCATCCTCGGAGACCCGGGGGCAGTCAGTCGGGTCGGTAGAAAAGGCAGGACGAAAGTTTTCAAGTACGGGCGAAAGAGCCCCTGGGTACCGACTCTTACCGAACTATTTCCAAAAATTCAAGTGGATGCCGGCTCCTGATTGGGCACAAAAAATTCTTTGTATTATTGTGCCCAATCGGCGAACAGTTTCTCCCGAGTTCTTTTCGTGAGTACACGCCAGCTATTGTCTCGCCACACTTGCCCAGTTCGTTCAACAAGCTTTTGCGAGCAAGGGAAACTTTTATTTTCTACTTTCCTAACCAGAAACGAAGGAACTACCGATGAGTCGAAGAAGCGTTTGGGATGCTATTAGCAGAAGCAATTGACTTTGCCCCGCGAATATTCTGTTTTTGACGGATCACAATGTATCGTAAATAATAGGAAGTTTAAGATTCGGCGGCGACAGAAAGTCAAATAAGCAGTAGCTTGACAAGGCAGAACAACAACTTTGCACGTGCATCACGCTTTTTTGTACATTTCTTTGCCGTCAACTGCACGACTACCCGTGAAAATGCCTAATTCACCTTTTGTGAAGGGCGTAAACAAGCAATGACAAAATTCATTCTCTTCATGAACTTGGATATGGTTGATAGAAATTCAGCTCCAGAAGAGTTCGCTTACATTTGACAAAGTAAGGGAGTTGGAATAATCACGATAGAGACTGAAAAAAATATGAATTCACTTTTCCATGCGACGTTTTCGTGGCTGTCAGCCGTCGTGGTATCTTTTAAAATCTCTCTAAGGTGGTTTTCACGTTACGTCATCGCCGCCATGCTGGTGGACGGTAAACAAAAGGTCGCTCATTAACTCGGTTTGTTTGTCCACCAGCATTTGTTCATTTCAGCAATGTTATTTGTGTCTCCCGAGACTGCATGAAAACCACCTATAAATATATTTACGCAAGACGTGGCCGATGCAAGCGTGAATACAATGTTGTAAGCTGAAGCTTTAGTTTTCGGGCAGACAGTATTTTGAAATCAGATGGGGATTTTATATCAAACTGAAAGTTTCCTGACTGCGTGCATTTCTTTGGTGCATGAGCCAGACAAGCCGTGATCGAGACAATAGCGGTCGTGTACGAACGCACAAAAACAACTTAGGAGATGTGTTCGCCGATTGGGCACAAAGCGTTTTTTGTGCCCAGTTATGAGCCTGCATCCGCTTGAATCTTTGGAAATGGTCCAGTCACCCAGGCGCTCTTCCGCCCTTACTTGAAAACTTTCGTCCCGCCTTTTCTCCCGGCCCAACTGACTGCCCCTGGATCTCCGAGGATGCATAGCCACCGGCGTCTTGTAAAGCAGAGACAACTAAAGAGTCAATAAAGACGAAAGCGGAAAGCGGTGAGTTGTTGTCTAAAGTATTTAGCTTAGATTAATTGTCATGTCCACAAATTTGGAATATAGAGCAGGAGAAAGATAGAGAAAAAGAGAAAGTAGGCGGCAGGCCAGCGAAGCTCAACGAGAAAAAGGGCGACAGAGATCTAGAGCGAGAGATAAAAAACAAAGGAGACATTTTTGTTGGAAGAACAACATGAAAATTTTGTAGCAGTGGTGACAAAATAAGAAATGATAGCGGTCACCAATGCAAGGTGAAAATGAGCGCGGGCAGTGAAAAAAAAGTGAACGAGAACGCGTTCGACATTTCCTCCATTAAACGTGTACCTAAGAAGTTTCTGGAAGTTTAAAGTTGTTAGTAGTCGTGCAAAACAACGGCAAAGAAATGTACAAAAAAAGTGTGCTGCACGTGCAAAGTTGCTTTTTTTGCTAATTAGACTTGTTGTTGTTTTTCGCCGTTCTCCGGCGTTGCCTTCACCGCTTAGCATTACACGATTTTATGTTTTATTTGAACAAACTATAAATATTCTCGAGAGCTTCGCTTTTAGCCCTGGCTAAATCTATATATAACTCAAAGTTGATCATAGACATACGTGATGTAGTGCTAACTTCTAAGTCAGAGGATTAAAATATTTTTATCTGCTGAGCTTTTCTTTGAATATTTGAAAATTCTAGACATTCCGGGCTTAACCCTTTGCAATGTGCAGGTTTTGTTTCAACCGCTACTTAACAATGAGCATGTACCGGGTTATCGCTTATCGGAGGCACTCATCAAAGTACGTTAGCCCTTTCATGCCCCAGAGGCCAATATCACAATTCAACAAAATTTTCAAATTTAATTCTGTAGAACTCCGAAAGACAAATAATGCCATGTGAAATGACTGCCTAGGAGGTTTTATTTGAATGGTTACACCATATGATTTCCCTCACAGACACGAAAGTTAGAATCTCCTCACAAGACCCGTTCATTCTCACTCTTATAGCTCTTGCGCCGATGAAAGCCTAGAGTTAATGGCAGTAAATTGCATGTTTTCGTTTTACCCTTTATCAATCCACTTCTTACTTCCAATTGTATGAAAAATAAGCAAATAATCATCAAGAAAATCGCAAATTCAACTTTGTAAACTGACAATATTGTATGCAAACAATAAGAAATCACCCACAGACTCAAAAGTTGGAACGGGACAATACACGCCTTTTACAACTGACTAGGCTATTTTACATCACACGTCAAGATGTTTCGAGGTTTTTAGATTCTTGATTGGACAGAAACCAAGCCAAAATTGTTAAGAACAAATTGAGTAACTTTTCACAAATTATTTGAGTTTCAGTGGCAACGATCCACAGGAAAGAAAGCTCAGTTATTTCATTGTTGAATGTTTCTTGGAAGTATAAAATAGAATTTCTCAATCTCTCGAAAACTGAAGACTCTTGAACCTTGTTTTACGTTGTGAATTTTCCTTGCTTAAATAAAATCCTTGAAAACTCTGAGGGATATGTAAGCCCACAAATGAAAACAATGATGGATGCGTCCGACAGTTCATAGCTAGCCCAGGAATTCAGCAAACTTAGAGCCGTGAAATAAAGTGCTGCAAATAAACAAAACCACGAAAGCCATCAGTTCATTTCCAGACGAACGCATAGAAAACTTGAGGGTCATTGTCTCCAAACAAACCTAATTTAGTCACACGAAATATGTGCTGTAATCAAGTTCAAGCAGTCGGAATATGAACTAACTGAGTGGTCATTATACATAGTACAGACTGATTTCTATTTACATGTACAAACAACACTATTCATTAACTAAGCTTCAACACAACTTTGAAAATCCCGTTGTATCCAGAATCAAATGCTTCTTCATTAAGACATTATAGGTTTCATAGTTGCAAATGGATAGCCTCCCTTTGAAACAACGCAAAGCTCTCTAGTTAATGACATTCGAATCCATTCACACAGTCCAAGAAGCATGATGATGTTGCAAAAAAGGAATTCAAGAGAACTGTTGCATTTAAATCTTGTGCCTGATTGCATGTAGTCGGGTAAAATTTTTATGAGCCATAGAACAGTTAAATACTGCCAAAGAGATTTCTTTTGAGTGGTTTCGTTTATACTG